GGGGGGGGGGGGGACACGAGCCCGGGCACCGAGCACCGGCCGGGCCACACGCACCGCATGCGCTTATCGCGCTCCGTGTTGATGATGCCCACGATGACAAAGGCCAGGGCATTGAGGATGACCGAGTGCAGGGCCTTGGACATCTTGCGCTCGGCTTTGAAGATGGCGAAAATGTAGACCATGGTCAGGGTGGCCCGGATGAAGGCCGCCACCCCGGACCCCATCTGTCCGTGTGGGCACATGCGTGTCACAGCCCCAGCGGGCGCCCGGGCGAGGGGGGGCTGGAAGGTTAGCGGCGGCGCCTGGGCATGCACAAGCCGGCGGAAGCGCCCCACAGGCACGCACGGTCATGATGTGGCCCGGCGAGCGCGGGAAGAAGCAGAACCCCAGGACCGAGATGAAGAAGGCCGAGTTGACGAAAATGCTCCCGGGCCGGGTGACACCTACCGGAGCGTTCGGTGGGCGGGCGGGCGGGCGGGCCCGAGCGGAGCCGGTTAGCAAGTGGTCGGGGGCGCACGCAGCATGCGCGCACGCGAGCCGGGGCCCATGCCACCCGAGGGGGCGCCTCACGCACCTGGGGGGAGGTTGCGAATGAAGTTGATCCGGCCGAAGTCCAGGATGCCCGGCACGTTGAGCAGCGCCGCGCCGGCGAGGCAGTAGTAGATGTCCGGCAGATCCAAGATGGCAACCCTGTGCCGGGGGGTCGATGTGGATGTGGGTGGGCGGGTGGGCGGGTGGGTGGGTCAGGATGGCACCCCCCATGGGCCAGGGGCGCTGGGCGGGCCTCCGAATGGGCTCAGGCGTGGCGTGTGGCGGGGAAGGCCGTCAAGGGCTTGCAGGAACAGAGGCACGCACTTATGCCGGAAGATGACGCACACCCCGAGCACGGGGATCAGGGCCAGAGCCACGATGTTGATCGTGAGCATCCACACGGGGAACTTGGCGGCCGTGCAATTGCTGGCCTGTTTATGGGCCATGCCAAATGCGATGGTCAGCACATTGGCGGCTGGGGGGACCGAGGGGGAGAAGGGGGCGGGG